TTCGGGGACGAAAGAAAGTGAACGTTACAAGGCAGAGTAATGCATCGCCTGATCAAGAATCCCGATAAATATTCGATGATCGTGAGCCGGTCGACCCGTAAAGTGATTCGCTCCGTGGTTAAAATTCTTAAGATGGTGTCCGACGGAATAGTGACTTATTAAAACGAACTGCAAAACGACTATTTGAGTGGCCGTTTATTAACAAAAAAAAAAACTCTAAAGTGCGTTACGCGATAAATCGACGTGTGTATAACTGAATGTTATGTAATTTTAACAATTGTCATGGAAATCCAAGAGATTTTGTAAACGTTGTATAAGAAAGATCAAGGTGAACGATGAAGATTCTTGTAAAATCGAAGCGTTAAAGAAAATATTTCTTCGGAATAAATACACCTATCGTTGGACGTCGAAGGACGTCCAGGTATCAACTGATAATCCGGTAATTTTTTCGTTTGTTATTGGTAACGGTCGACGCGACGGTTTCAACACGGCCGGCAATAAATCATACCGAGTGTGTGTGTCGAGATAATAGGGATGGTTAATAATGGCAACGAGACCACGTGCGTTCGGGCCTGGCGATCAGTTAATGGGTGACCGCGAACGAACACGGAGGTCGTGGAAATCGCGGCGGAGAACGATCTAGATTTTGGATTTTCTATCGACGATTTCGGTAAGCCATGTCGCCAGTGTGTCTGTGTACGTGTGTGTTCGGTGAAGAAAAGTGTTCCGTGTTCGTTTCACCTGTGCACCTGTTTTAACGGGGACAGATTTTTCGATTTGTTAGTTGATCGTGAAATTCGTTGGAAAAACAAACCTAGGTTAGAAACTTTGTAACTTACTAAAGTTTCGTATCTCTAGGTTGATTGTACTGTTAACCGTGAGTGTGCTTAACATTTTTGTTGACCGGCAAATATATGTATTATCATTAGTCGTCAACTGATTTACTTCTTGATAGAAGAAATCCAGCGTTTCATTTGTTTCGATTAATATAGTACTTAATAATTTTGCTCATCCACCGTTTTTATCAGATCACGTTACGTTCCAGTACGATAATGATCGTTTTTGTAGAATCATCGACAACCGTATAGCTTGTAAACAGATTTTTTTCTTATTTTATTACAAGTAGTGTATTCAATCACAGACTCATCTGCGATTCGCGTAAAAGTAGTTGCCCCGTGTAACTATCGATAGAATCGAGAACGAATCGTGTTCTTTTTGCTGCGCGGCGATATGAAAGATGGCGGTCGTAAAATCGAACGAAAGCCAATCAAGCACAGATCTCATTGCAATCCAAAGAACGATGATCTAAACTGCCCCACCTTCGTGTCCAAACGAACTTTAATTCGATTCGGAATACTTCTCGTGTATCGAATGGGTACCTAACCCTGACCCAATCTACCATAACCCAGACCTAACCCAGATGTAATCCAACACTGGCGCGCTGTTCAAGTAACTGTTACACACTCCTTTCTCTGCGATAAAGCGCCGAGAAGTGATTATTCCGGAAATGCATATATCCACGAACAATGGGCACAGACACGAGCGTAGGGGGATCGAAATTCCAGCCACGAGAACAGAATCTATTTATCCATGACCTACCGTAAAATCTCCATCGTCTTCGAAACGTGTAACCAAAATTAATTCGACCTGATCAGACCAAATCCCATCTTTCGTGTCGCTACAGGCGGTACCAGGTGTGCTGGTACTGTAAACGTGACACGGTAATAATTAAGGTCGCGTCGTGAGAATCGAGAAGAATGGGCGATCGATCGCGGAACAGCTAGATAACCGTGTATACGCCATGGATAATCCCAAACGAAAAATCCACTGTGTTTTCTCTTGAACGTGTTTCATTCTCGCGAATCGTACATCGGGATACACTGCCGACGAAAAGCCTAACGAACATGTGAATTGATCCAAATGAGGGGCTGAATGGCAACGGATTTTACAGTGACTCACGCATTCGTTCACAGACTTCCGAAAGAACACTTAGGTGACAAAACTTTTATGCAATTTCTATTCACATATTCTCCGTATCAGTACTATTTATGGTCCTTTCGTGATAAATTTTTTTCCAATTTGTGGCATTTTGGTAAATAATAGAAGTAACAGCCTTTTGTGAACAAATTGGTGAGTCACTGTATACTTCTAGTGGAATACCAATACATTCTACATTAAGAAAAGAACTCTAAATTTTACTGTGCACGGTTATTATACGTAATGACGTGAATTGTCGTTCGAGAGTTTATACTACATTTTCAAACGATACATGCCATGCACGGAGAAGATTGTTATTATAACAAGTACCTACCTGGCGTCAAAAATTTTAAACTTACCTCCGATAAAGCTTATTATCGTATCTATTCCGAAATGGAACGCAATATTCATCTTCATAGAATTATTCCAATTGAGATTTTTAGGTTGTTCACAGTACCATGAAGAGGTTATAAAACCTGGAGAACCATAAACGTAAGAGACCATAATAACGAGACCAATAAATCAAATTGATTTTATAGCGACTGTTTTAGGTCATTCCCATGTATTATCTCATTTAGACCACAAATTAATTTACTCACCGGACATATTAGTACCGAATATGGGTCTAAATGGATCGAGGAGCATATTTGAAAAAGCAGATGGTGGTCGAAAACTTTTCGCCTATATTGAAAATCGGTTACACATAAGCTGTCCGTGCGTTCTCTATAGGAGAGAACAATAAATTCTGAATGATTATCCGTGGCGGGGGTGTGGGGTGGTCACTGCAAAAATCGTGACTCGGAAATGCAACCTCGCGTGTCTAACGGGTGAACTGCGGCGGGGCCGTTATTTCGCCTGGAGAGAGGTTTCTATATGTATGTACTAATAAACATTTTTTCGCATTGTTAAACGTTACCACCGGAGGTAATTAACATCATTATGGCTCATTGGTCATCGGAGCTTAAAACCGTAGTTACCCTTCGTGTTTAAAACGATCGGTTTCCACCGACGACCGACCTGGACGCGAACGACAGCAATAAAATCGGAATAACAGTTAGACGCTGTTGACTTAGTTAGAACTTCTCTCTCTCACACTAGTGTTCGATTGATTTTATAACGTTTATCGCGTGTACGTAATATGAACCCCCGTGAAGTCAATGTCAATGCTACTATGGAAATACGGAATCGGACGGTTAGGAGAGGAATTCATGGTGTTTTCCAGATATAGGTGGGAACGATAGACATTGTGGCGATCCCCAAGATCATGCAAACATAACTTCATTAGTTCCGCTTTCGAATGGTGCCACTGGAAATAATTAGACATAGCATTAAGGCCACTGGAGCATATTCGTCTATGTCCGAACCCACCACTTTGAATATTTTGAACGTCTAAATAGATTATTGAGGAAACGTTGGCGAGAACGAGAGAAAGAGAGACGGATGGTCATCATAAATGGCACAAACGGTATTTTTTGTTCTTGTTAGTCTATACTTCGGTTCGTTTCGAACATTCCGAAGTATGTACCATCCAGAGTAGTGGATCGCGAATCCAGAGAAACAGGGACATTTTCATTCATGTTACCATTCTTCAAGTAACTCTTTTACCATTGAAAACGAAGGATCTAATTCGTAAGAAATGATCGTTCTTACGTTAATATAGCCTCGGTTAAATAGTTAATAACAGGGCCTCAAGGATTCTTCTATCTGGCTGAAGGTTAAACACTATTATAATTCTGTTACCATTTTGGAAATAACCTTCTTGCCATTAAAAATGAAGAGATACAACGAAGAAAAACAACTCTCCACGCACGTGTCTCGCGTTGCGTTTCAATGTTACATTCCGGTCGACCAAAGTGTGGCCATTTGTAATTGAAAAAGCAGAGCACTGGGGCCGGTTCCAGGGCTATTAGCGATCTGCAACTGAATAACTTTGCTCAACCACGCGTATGACAGGACTACGTGGCTACGTGCCAGTCGTTTCGGTCCGGGTGTTATCTTATAAGGTATCAATTACCTGGCCACAAAGCAATTTCACAGTACAATGGCACCGGCCGCGATTCGAGTTAACCGCCCGTCCAAGTAAAACCTTACAATAAAACCGCTCGCAGGTTTCTCCCGTGCATCGATAGAGATCGTAGCCTCGGTGAATCTGAAAGCAATGATTATCGTATTTAAGAATCATTGCGAGGAAAATAACGTTCTTCGAATCCACCAGGGACATTCAGGTGTTCTGTTCCTCTTGAGGCACCCGGTAGATTCTCTGTCACTTCAAAAATCAAACATTAATACTTTAACGCCCAGACCCATAAATCGTGATTTCAAAATTATGAGACTGATACGTATACCTACATTAGTTGTAGGTCTCTTGTTATTTTGAATCCAAAAATAGCGATATTAAACCGACCTATTTTCAAACTTTCTAAATTTATCTTTAAGCCTTCAAAACCTAAACACTTTTTTCGGGAAAGAAATTAGTTTTTGTGATTGGTTAACTCAAAAATCGTCCCAAGAATTTTTGTTAAGGAGTCAACATTTTACTGACTTGCTAATAGATTTGTTGCTACTTTCCATGAATGTCATTTGCTACTGTGATCGAACTGCTCAATATAATATTCAATATATTATAAAAAAAAAGGGAAACTGGAAGGATCAAAATTTTTGTGATGCCGCTGGGCAACGGGATCTCGTCTCTGTGTCGAACATACAATGTACTATTTCGTCGGTCGCCATTTTGAATTCTTATCTGTGTCTTTCTCTTGTAGCACTGGTTCGAGCTACGGTGTCGGAGTGATTGTCGCTCGGCTAATTAGCTTCTGTTTCTGACAACCCGTCCATGGGGGACACGGATGGACACACTGTTGTCGTTTCGATCGTTTCGACGCGTAATGGTTCAGCGAGAATGAGAGGGAATAGGCTCACCATGGTGTCTCTGTTTCCGATTCAATCGAACCGGTGTGTCATGGATAAAAGAAGTTTAAACTCTTGGTGACCGTGTTCGGAGCATTATTCGCGAGAACTGATCGGTTGTGAACAGTGAATTTTGAGTCGAGTCAAGAGCATGATGGGAGAAGTGATTCGGGTATCTGGGAGGGCACCGGATGTCGGGGAGTTTCTGAAGGAGGCGATGGTGTCCCAGAGGTTCGCAGACGTCGCCCTTTGCTGCCCTGGTGGGCAACGATTCCTCGCCCATCGACTGGTCCTTTCTGCTGCCAGCCCTTACTTACAGGTTGGTCATTTTCTAATCTAACCGATATCACACTTCTCCGTTACTCTGTTCGAACGAGTACATATTCGGTACCATTTCTTGCTGGAGATAATTTGCTCGTCGAACCTGAAGTTCTCGCAACAGTTTTATTTCGAACGAAACGAGCCATGGTATCTCCATGGTTCGCAAATAATAGGGTATACATTTTGCGCTTTAATACAAAGAAATCATCCATTTCCGGTTACGGTCTAAAGCAACTATCGGAGCGCGCAAATATCGCGTAGGTCGCTGGAAATCTCGGCGAGCCGCTGGAGCCTATCGTTGAGAAGCCATTTATTAGGAACGGTGAATTAGCCGTTTCTTATCGAACCCAAGCGATCGTCGGCTCATTTTAAGGAACGTATTAACCGATCGAGGGGGGTAATACCGTGAGCAGAAAATCAGGCTGAAACCGATGAACATCGGGGCCATATAATCGTTCGAGGATAATATCGTATCTACGGTTCTAGTTGGTTTTTCATCACCGTTGGATTTCAGTACGGGTTGCTCGTAAACGATTTCAATTAAGTCCCTCGATGCGTGCGAGCCGCGGTGCGAGATGCAAAAACGTGATTGTTTAGCGACTGCTTTTTAAATAATGTCCCGGTACTAACGAGCCGCAGCGGCATACGTACGTACATTGCCGCACGTCGGTCACGTGCGCCAGAAAGCCAGGAAACAGAATGCTCTCTCGTAACCAAGGATCATTAACCATATTCCCGCGCATGAGTTCATCTCATCGGTGGACTCGGGGGGAAAAAGGGTCGTCAGCTTGCTTGTACAGGGTGTCCCGTCGTTACCGGTTGCACAATCACGGTTTCCACGTACTAAGCGAGAAAGTGGAATAAAATAGTTCGAGTCAATCATGCCAGATCTCTTGATAGGTCAATCGTTGCAATCGAAAGTAATAAAATATAAATATGATTTTTCTGGTATGATAGTACCGGGTTACATATCTATTTTTGCATCGGTCATGAATTTAACGAAATCTTTAAATTGTGGGAAATTTTTGAATTTGACAGTCTGGAGAACGAAATTTCGCCCGAGGAAAAGAAATATTCTGTCTTCTCGATTAGGTTCTGTAACTAATTGCGGGTCACCTTGTATAACATCGGCGTTAACACGGGGGAGAGTATCGCTTCCGGTTGTTCGATCGTCAAACAAGCCCAAAGTTGCGCTCGTTGATCAGCTTATACGAGTCGCGCACAATGCAACTAATGGAGCGACTCGATTCGAACGCGAGCCAACTTCTGTTCAAACATGGACAACCAGTCGTCGTCGGCTCGCGGCCATTAATCAGCTGTAGAACTTGGGCGACCGAATCGCGACCAGAGCAGGGATTGACGTTCTTAACTGGATAGAAACAGTGAAAGTGAAGCCGATGGATCAATCTTGGAAAGCTTCCTCTTACGAAAGGGTCCTGTTTGTTAAAGGATCGTCTGGCGGTTACCGTTTTCGCGGGCAGTTCGACCTATGGATGTCGGGGTAAAAAGTAATATATGTAGTGTCGACAAGATCCATTCGTTCATATACAATATACATATACACCTGTTGGTCTCTATCGGTCGAGGGTTAATTCTTGCTTTATTTTCTGTAGAGAACCAACAAGTTTCGCGTCTGAACACACGAGTCATCCCTGTCGTTTCGATTACACGTTGTGGAAACTGTATCAGACAAGGTCTAATTGAAATAAAAGATCGCAGTTTAGCCGCGAAACAGGAAATCACGCCTGGAAGCGTCTTATAATCTGCTATGAGCAGTGCTCGGAAAATAATTAATAAACCGGCGCGCTTTTAATATCAATTACGAATACTGGCGGGAACAACCGCTTATTAATTGAACATTAAGCGTGCACTAACGAGAGTCGCGAACTCGGAATAAGAGCAGTTGGAACAATTGATGGAGGGTACACTGCCGCTCATAAGTAGGTACATTAGAACACTTGGTCTGTATAGAGGGTAATTAATATCCTCTGAACAATATTCATTTCCGACAAGAGAAAAAATAATATATACATGTTTATATTAATCGGACGAATAATAAAATTAATGAAACACATGACTGGAAGATACAAGAGAGAAAAACAGAGTGGTAATTACAAGGTTGGCTATAATTACAAATTTGGTTTCCAAAAGATTGGATAGTGCCAATAAAAAAATTAAGATCTTTGCAGAAAGAATTTGCTGTTTAACAAATGCGATAGAAAATCTTGACTTGTATCTTCGTAATATAGATAGAAATGCACACTTACGAGCGGTACTTATACATATTACATACATGAGGTATCAGAGATTCGCTTAATGCCCGAGGAAATTACCACTGACATTAATGATTAATCTCTGCATTCGACGAGAAATACACTAATTGCCGCATATCGTGTATAGCGTCACGAGTCACTGCATCTTTATCACCAACAAAAGATCGTATATCGTTGATCTGTCTCCGTTTTTTACGGAATGCATGGGCATAGATAGGGCAATAATGGTGGACTAAGCTTCTGTAAATCGGTTTACGATAACAACAATCAACTTTTTATTTATATGGAACAAACGTAAATACAATATAATGCAGATATTACGGAAAACAATTCTGTCGCGGAAGCATTTATTGTCGATTCACCGTCCAGGGATACCGATCTCCCAACACGATAGGGATCGTACCTCCGGCTATGCGAAAACTACTAAATTACCCGTTAATAGTTTGTAAACCAGCAAATTGCTACATATATTCGCGAGTCGCTTCTGGCCGTCTGGATCGTTGCACTCTTTTTTTCCTCGATCGAATTCCGTTTCGAACGGTTGCATAAATCTTTCTTTCTCTTTCTCTCTCATTCTCTCTCTTGTCTGATGGGGGATCGCAATTTTCCGTCGATCGTTGCCTCCGTTCGCCGGTGAACGTTCCTTTTTAACAATTACACCCCGCAAATCTCTCTCTCTCTCTCTCCGTGTTCACTGATTATTCGTTTTTTTTCTCCCTGTATCGAAACGAATGTCTCTGCCGGGATATCCTGAATTCGGAATTCACGTTTAACCAGTCGATAATGAGTACTATTTACGGTCCCGTTTCTCCTCCCCCTCCCCTCCCTACGTTACCATCTTTGTCGCGTTGTTGCCCTGTTACGATCCCTGTGTGTTACGTTCGCGACGTGTCTTAGGTAATTGAACGATCCTTGTCGCTCTAATGCTTGTTTTGAGTGTCTTTTTGTATGCACACGGTTATACTCAATGTCATGCTTCCTGGTCTGGACCCTCTTCGAGCTCGACGGTGTCCATCGGGGGGAATCGCTGTGGAACCTGTTTCGCCTCGATTCGTAATCTGAAATTGTAATTAGCAGCGGCGTCGATTAATCGACTTGCCACCCCCTCCCCCCTCCCGCACGATTTGTTCTATCTTTATTACTGTTAATTTAGTTATCCAGCAAGGCTACTTTACGCGATTAGCGTTCTTCAGGGTTGGGAGCCCGGTTTCTAATCGGAATGGAATAGTCGCGCTAATGAAATGATCACTACCGAACTGCGTATCTCGGGCGTTTATAGGAGCAGTCGATGTGAGAATACCACGGTAAATTAGATATCTCGAATACGGCTACAGACACAGTGTCTAATACATTATTTTTTTAATCGGTCAGCTTTAAGACAACCGTCGACATCGGTATACGTATATGTGTCCCGTATACTTTTATGTACAACGAGGTACGTCAACGAGCATGGAGAATAACCGTGATAATTCGGTATTTACATTCAATATGTAGCCATTTTAGCGGGCTCGTTTAAGAACGATAGAAATTTAGGTTCATCATCGCGATGGTATTCCAAGTTTCCCGCGGATTTCAGAATTCTCTCGAAAGGCGTGTTTCTTGAGGAACTTACATATTATGTATATTTTATTTCTCTGTTTATGCAACATAGTTTTTGAATATAACAATTGTTTCTTTATTGGACAACTTAAACCTGACCACTAACTCAAGATATAACAGACTTTCTTTATCTCTCTCGTTAACTATATTTTTTGTAACAGAAAAATTCCATCCGGCTCTGGCGCGCGAGTGTGAACCAATCGTGGCCCAGGAAGATTGAATTATCACGTCTGTCATTCTGTCCTATACGAGTATAATACGTCGAGGATCTGCGGGGACGTGTGTACACGCATCGTCAAGATAATGAGCTTCGATAGAGGCGGGTCAGTGCACCCTAATGATTTCATTTACCGTTTCGGCGTTCTGTAAAAGAAAAAAAGAGAAAGAAACGTAAGAGGTTCTAGCACGTAGGACGTGGCGGCGCGGTGTGTTGTACTCGTTACGCGAGTTGATGCATGCTAAACGCCGCGTTTGATCTCGGGAGATAGTAGAAGGTCCGCGGCCCCATTAAAATACTTGCACGCAGCTATTTTATGGCGGTTGATTCACTATATTCTACGAGAGATAGCGCGTATATGTTACGTCGCGTCTCCTTGTCGCGAACTCCTCTTGTCCATCGCGCATTGTCATAAACGTGAGCGTGCGTTTTCCCCTTGGGAAATGATCGCGAGCCTCGTCCACACGGTGATCTTCCCCCTTTTTTTTTCTCTCAGGTACGGTGTACGTGGGGACGAGATCGTTATACGTATGAGTAACATTAGTCTGCTGCTGCGCGAAACTGCGCGCCGGCTATTCGACACGCGTGCGTAATCGCTTCTTGCGCGCGCGTTGAAGTCTCCGACTTCGCGATTGACGACCGTTTCCTGTTTGTTTGTGTATTTATTTCGGTATATTCAATTCCATTTGTAGGTATTTGTTTGAATGGTTCAATGAATGTGGTTCTTACAGAATTTAGTTTTTGCACAGGTATGGTTCTTGTGCGCGCATTGAAGTCTCCAAATATAACAACTTCTTAATAGATGGCCATTTCCTCTTCTTAATTGGTGGTATTACTTGCTCATTAATTTTCATGTATATTTTTTTTAATTACACTCGTGACTCTTATATGTATGTTCTCTTTACTAATTTCAGTTTCATTGTTATGTTTCTAAGTCATAGCTAGCTTCTAGTCACTGCTCCTGCTTTTTTCCACTCGTGTACTTTTGTATCTGTTCATTTTCTTCATATTCTTTTTTATATTGCAATCCAGATTCGATGCATACGAAGTGTCGTGTCACCGTTCGTTTTTCAGCATTTCGTTCCGTTCATTAGGCATCTATTTACCATTCAAATCCTCTCTAATTATCAATAGAACTACATCGTTGGCTATAAATCCGTAGATTATCTCCCATAAAACATTCGTTAAAAACCCATGCATCTTAGCCCCTTCGAGTAAACACGAAACCGACGCCCCGATATTAATTACCATCGCTTTGTCACCTGGTAGCGTCGTCTCTTTTTCCATCGAAGCTTCCGGTACCACCTGAGAATTCCGCCATCTCTCCACGGTTAATCATCGCCATTGAGCAGCACGTGCTCAAACCGACCAAGAATGTAAACCACACGAATAGTCCGCGCGTCACAAGGTTATAAATATGTTTCGATTAAAGTCACCAACGATCGATAGGGTGGCAAAGTTATGGACGCAACCTTATCTTATCCGACTTTAACCGCGTTATTATGAATGTTCGCACGTGTACCAATGATTACAGAGGGTGTCGTAAAAGTTAGCATTACCGAATTGAAACAATTTTTTAAAATTTTCCTTTTGACCGAAAATATCCCCTAATTTTCTCTGTGTTTAGACGACAGGCGATTTATGTCAACGACAAGTTTTTATCAGAATAACGTGTCGGCGAAATGAAACTGTTACGTTTCGTCTAGGAACACCCTGTGTATTTGCACCGGGCGGAGCAAGTTATCGCGATCATGATCCTTTTTCCCCTACTGGTTTTCTTACGCGTGGAGCGCGTGTTCCATGCCGATTTACACGGTGCCGTGTCAGATCGCCAAGCCATGGCCCTCTCCTCCGCCTGTGTCTGATATCGCGATTAATCAGAAAAGTCAATTGATATGGCGGAGATTGTAGATTTTACGTGCGTGACACTGCTCCACTTACAATTAGATTACCGTTCCTCGTCTGTTTCTATGTCGGTTTCGCCACCCAGGGACGGGACTTCCTCGCGTACCCGTTACTGCTTCTCAGTACATACACCATTCTATTACCCTCTTTGCGCGCGACGACACGGGACCACGGCTGTGTGGTTTAATTAGATACGGAATCCCCGATGGTAAACTTTATCGCTGATATTATCTTTGAACAGCGGCAATGTTTCGGTTTTAATATACGGAGTTATTCAATCGAGGCGACTGGGCTAATTAATTTCTGTGGCTTGGAACTGGCCGTGAGAGAAATATTCGGTCCGGGATGAAACGTCCTCGTATTAGAAATTATTCTTTAGATGGAAAAAGTAGAAAGAAATTAGGCTTGTTTGTTAGTTTCTTTTTTTTTTTTAGAGAGATTTATTCAGCCTTTTGGATTTAATTATAAAAACTGAGGAAATTGGCTGGAGCAGTAAGTAGGGTAAACACACTATTGAATGAACACTTAAGAGATTTTGTGACTATTAAAGACGAATTTTAAATGATGATAATACATATTAATAAATATTTGGCACTTGGAGATTCTCAACGAGCAAACAACGATAAAGAACTATAAAACTGATAATTCGAGAATCTTTGTCCTCGGATGATTTTAGGAATGAATTTAGGATCGACGCATCCATGGTTTATTTTAATCTTACACGATAATGACGATGACAATTTAGATATTCACGTGGTCCCAGGCCATGAATGGGGGCCGAGTTGTGTGTAACATCGATCCACGGTATATACAACTTTATGGTCGTTTCTTGATTCTGTGGCGCGATAACAACAGTGCTTAACATAAAATCGGGCTGTACATGTGATATTTTTCTAATGAAACATTTGTAAATGAATTCCGACCCGCCTGTTTTTTCTTTTTTTACAATTTATACCGTTAACTGCGAAACTATAAGAAAGCGCTTAAACGGTTATCGGTAATTGTCGAAAATCTGACGGGACTGCTTGATTTTAATTTCAAATTTTGGGACAAGCGAAGTGTTGGAGAATTTGTGTGTGTGTGTGCCCTTTTGGTACGGTCATCAAACAAAATATTTCACGACCAAATTCCCTTCCTTTGGTTGAGTCACTCGAATATTTATGCTACTCTTAACACGATTTACGTTCCGTGTTTACCTAATTGTTATTTTCATCGGGGCGATACCTGTTGAGTACTGTTACCGTAATCGCCCACTTCGAACTGTCCCGAATACGGGGAGTCATCGTGATTGTTGCCTTCGTAAATTGTTTTAACGGTATTAGCCCGTCATCGTTCTGACGTTTGAAGCACCCTTCAGTTCTCGAAGAAACTTTTTTTCTCGAACAAAATAACGCGTGAAAGAACAACAGTTTTTTTAGCTTGAAAAAAATTACCGAAGCATATGTAGGTCGACTGCTATTTACAATACTGCGTACAATATTGGGATGTTCGAAAAGTTCGTGGTGTTTTTAAGGGTAGAGTTACAATCTGCATTTTTCAATTTATAAGGGTATTCTTATTTACTACTGTTTCTTTAGAATTTCTTTTCCATTATTGCGAGTAATTTTATTGTGAAACGTCGATTGTATTGGTGAAGGAACTCTTCGATCTACTTCTAGACGGATATTGTTTCTATCTGATCTAAAAGAATAATCTGATAGTGTATTTTTTTACCATTTTGATAGAAGCTCCGTCGGCATTTCTTGCAGAAAACAAAAAAAGAGAACGACGGTTGACTTATGCATTCGATCTATACTTGGATCAAACGACTTTTCCTTCATCCAGTAAAAAAGTAACGAGGACACTATCCTCGAAACACTACAAACTTTCCGAACGACCCAATATAATCCTGGATCCTATGATATTATTTTAAAGAGTCTATTAAATACAGAAGAAATTAGTAGTGTTGTCTATGGACATTAATAACTGTACTTGTTTTTCGTTTCTCTTTTTGTTATAGATATAATAAAGTAACAGTTGGATTAATTATCCGATGACCCGGTATATCGCCTGCCTCTTCATCACGACGTCTGTGTGGTGATGGTGAATAATATGTAGTAGAAAAAGATCAACGGGGATCGGTAATGAGCGTCATTACTTATCCGTTGCACCCGTTTGCGGTTCTATGCCAACGGAAAATTAGTATAATAATCGCGCGTTTCCTGCCGGTGTACGTGTAAATGGAATCGTTGATACAGCGGTAATTTGTTCCTCCGTATAAAAACACAGAAGCGGCGCGAGTAACCGCAAAACGTTGGACAAGAAAAAATAACAAAGAAATTCAAATTTTTTTTCGCCTGTGCAGCCGTTAAGTGTTTTACAATGTTAATAATCGGATCTCGAGTCGAAATCTCGATGTCTATGTGACGAACTTTCTCCAATATACATAGAACACCGGAAGAATTAAAAGAAAATAAGGCCTAGGAAATATTAAGTGTTTCTAACCGCAAGGAGAATACCTACATATTAATTTATTTATTCCGGATGGAATAGATCGATCTGTCCGTTGCCGTGCATGCAACAACAATAACGAATTGCGTTAGATTTTCACGATGAAAATGTATCACGAATTGTTGATTGTTACACAAGGTGAACCGTTAGTTCTTGACTGCCTTGAACGGTTTTCTCGATCGTTTCGCGGTTTCTCGTTACCTGGATCGTTCGTCGACGGATTTTTAATATTCACAGGTTATATACATTACTTCTAATTTAAGGATTAAAGTAGACCAGAGTTCACAGGTTATCTACTTTAATGTCTAAATTAATTAATCTCACGTAAGCTTCTTCCATTCGTTTGTGCTTCTGTATCGTCGCAGACGGTAGCGTGTATCCTATAGCTATTCGAAATGCACGAATTGCTTCGTGTATGTATACACAACCTCTATCCGTAAGATTTATGGTCGTAGATAATGTCCATGTCGTTCGAATGTCTCGCCGTTGCATGCAGATGCCAGCAGGGGTCGGCAATCCTGGTGAGCCATTCCTGAACTCGTACTAATTCCAGTCCTCCCATTTGGACGTATCATTAGCGTTGAACGCTTCGAGGGTAATTTCGATATATGTACGCGGGTAACAGACTCTAGGCCGGTGATTTCAACGCATGGCAGAGAGATTGCCGGTGATTTCAATGAGCGGTAAAGAGATCGCTGGTAATTTCAATGCGTGGAAGCCACGGTGGCTTTAACGATCGGTAAGGCTGTATCGTAGGTGACTTTGATGCGTGGTACATATACAATGTACGTATAGGGATCACTGGTGATTTCAGTGTGTACTGTGTTTAGTCAAGAGAGCTCTGACAATCATAATGTGTATTGTAAAGGTTGCTGGTAATTTCCACATATGGTTAAAAAATTTCTCGCAACACTAACGAATAACAAGGATGGTACGGTGATGATTTTCCACCAGTCTCGGTATATTTTAACGTTAAAGGAAAAAGATCTTAGTTCCAATCGGAATTCGAATCGGGGCCAGAAAGAATGCTACAAGAATTTCTTGGTCTTGGCCGACCTTAAAGTATTCGTCCACGATACAGTATTCATTTATTACGTATTCACCGACTCGCGTCCCCATAAATATCGGCTCGAGAGCATCGTTGAATTAATCCCGCGGCCCACCGTTTTCTGCTTTCAGGAGGTCCTGTTGGCGCACAGCAAAACATCCGTGCATTGCGAGCCGATCACAGTGATCCTCGCGGAGGTCGAGGCGCCGGAACTCGCGGCGATCCTCGGTTTTGTCTACACCGGAACCGCGACGGTTCCACGTCCCCGTTTGAACGCGTTTCTGCACGCCGCCGAAGCGCTTCACATCCGTCTGCCACCGGTCCCGTTGATGATGACCTGTCCCCGAGCCGATTGCAAACAGGAGGACGTCAAAGACGTGAAGATCAGCCCGCAGTACTTTGGTTGTGATCAGTACCCATGTCGCGATCACTGGTACCAGACCACGAAGGATCCTGATGTAGATCCTGCTGGTAAAGTGGAGGAATCCTATTCGGGGATCGAGTCCTTGGAAACACGGCGAGAAATCGGACCGACGTTTCCTGAATCGATGAACTTTCCCGCGTCGAGATACGGGGCGGGCAGATATTGCTCTGGAACCTGGCCTGTTCCCGTCGCTTTCGTAAATGTCAGCCCAGAGAAGAGTGTTCGCTGTGTAGTGGATCAGCCTTTGGATAAGGATCATCTCCATCAGACGGACGTCAGACGGTATCATTCTGTCCCAGCGGTCCCGAGGATCGGCAGGGTCGGCGATGTTATTGGGACCAGAACGGAGAACCTACATTCGAGCTGCGATTCATCCGCGAAGCAACAAGAATGTTGCTTCGCTAGGAGTGTCTACGAGGTTCATAGACAGCTGGATCCTCTGGAATCGCGAATGCAAACGGATCAGAATCGTAATACCGAGAACGAGAGTATTACTGGGGGAGAACTGACGCGTGGCGGTCGACTCGAGGATCGTATCAGTGTGATCCATTCACGGACTGGTCCATGTCAGACAGTACCATCGTCTCTGGAACTAACTGATAGGATGGGTTCGTACGAGAAATCGGATCACGGGGAGGATCTGACGTGCGGGGATAGCTGTCTCAGGTGGAGAACCCCGCCGAAAAGGCACGTGGCCAATCGCGTAATTGCTTCTCCGTGGAGACAGACCGCCAGGCCTTATCACCTGCCCAAGCCGCAGCCTATCGTGCTGCAACCGCACGCGGACGATGTCGTAAGTCAAAATTCACACGTCCGGATACAATGACTCACAAGTTTGTTCACGAAAACCTCTATTTAACCAAATTACAGTAAATCCTCGATGAATGTTCGAAGGTTTCTCGACACTGAACATTAAATATCCCATAAATTAATGGCCATATGCGGCTGAAACAAATATCATTGACATTAGATTACTAAGTTCTATCACTGTACGAAACCTCATTAAAAAGTCAGCGTTACACCTGGGGACCTCTTCTTGTTAGCATCGAGGAGCCTTCGAATACTCATTGAGGATTGACTGTATATACCGAAATGCCAATTTTACTTCAAAATTGAACAAAATTGATCACGAATGTATGATAAAAAGTAATAATACAGAGAATATACGAATAGAAATTGCATAAAAGTTTTGACACCTAATTGTTATTTCAGAAGTCTGTGAACGAATGCCCGAGTCACTGTACCTTTCTCTATTTGCATGCCGTTTACGTATTCGCCGTACCGTTTGCGCATCGTTACGCGCGCGCTAGCCAATTCACCGGGGTTGGGGAACGTCGGTTAAATGCGCTTCGACCGAGAAAATTTAATTGCCAGATTCTTATCCCGTCCCGTAAGTGATTCTTGTTAACTTTGAAATCTTTCGCGTCGGTTTCATTCTTCTTTTTCACTGCACGGAGAAGTGCTTCTTGTTGTGGTTATCGCGGATTTATCGTTTAATAATCGAACTCGAAGATACGTAAGGTATGGTATTCGTGAAATTGTTCATGGGAATTCAATTAAAAATTAAAACAACGAAGCGAAGCTGTCGAGATATGGAGATTTGTACTCGGCTAATTATAAAGTAATTACGTTCGATTTTTGGTATTACTAAATTTGTTTTTTTTTTTAGGTGTTTCTTTTTTTTTGTGAAGTTTAGTGTTGATAGATTCTTAACTGTAAAAGTTAAGACAAAATGTAAATATTGAGAATAGCTATAACCGAAATATCGCGTGTCGCTCGAAGCCAAGGAAGGATTTCTATTTCAAGCCTGTCGATAGCGTCATAGTGTCTGCATTCGGAATACTATTTGTCCGGTAAACATATCGGTCTTCGCGATATCCGATCGTTGGGACACATCCGGAAAAATAACGCTGAACTCATAGCACGCACCACGCACGCAACGGGTCCACGCACATTAGCATATCCGTGGAATGGTGAATCTGGGTCACGCGGGTGGCTATCCTTCAGACTCGCGTTCAACTTTGATGAGGTAAATAAAGAAGTGCCCTCGACACTCCATTATTCAGTTTCATTCTAGCTTCTGCAAACTCGTAAGAAACTTATAGTTCATGAATAGTTTCGAGGATCAAGATGAAGCGTATATCAAACATGAATTTGCCATTTTTCTTTGGTCAATCAAGAATTGCCATTCTTAACACTTTGCTGGCGGAAAGGTTTTTGTGTTTGCGAATATATTGTATAACTTCAGGTGTTCTAAAAATATTTAAAAACTTTTTCTTTATAATGAGACACACGTAGCTTGACTACATTTTTTTTTTGAAAAATGGAGTTAAAACTGTCAGAATTTGGGCAACGGCATGATGGAATAACATCATTTTCTTCGGAGAAAAATTTGTCCGATTGATACACGAGGTGGATAAGAGTTAATGGTACAAGTAGACGCTCCAGAGATCTAGAAAATTACACAGTCTCTTTAACGCAATGTAGTCTTTGATAATCGCATAGAATTGTAACAGTTTTGTTTCTCAATTACATTCGACACTCAGCTGGATCGTTGATCCTTTCACCGCTTCCGTGAAAAAACGGAGCGATCTATCGTATTGTTCTTTCATTTAATTCATCGGTGGTCAGTCTTCGCAGGCTTCCGATGGATCTGTTCGATAATCGGTCAGATCCAATTACGAAATCCTGTTTCCATGGCTTCGTATTATTACGTCACGTTGCCATGCATCTTGTCGGATCGGATTACCGTGTTCCAACCAGTAGCGATCGGGATCCTTTCACACTGTTGATCGCGTTCGCCGCTTCTTCTCATCCTTCGTGGTTCTTTGCGATACACGGTAGTGATTTCCATATATCGAATGGTAAATATGAGATCGTTCCGCAAATAGTCTCCTTTTCGACGATTAATTCCGATAATATAATATTTCTTTATCAAGATTCCCGCTGCTACATCGTGTTGCAAAACGAACTTCTAAACGTATCCGTTGATCTGTTTCCCAACACACTTCTTCTTCTAATTTTGCTTAGAAAAAGAGAACGGTGAATCAAGCCAGACCCAACCCTAAACGGGGTTACGCCACGGTCTGTGTAACCAGTAATTTGTCTTAACAATTTTTATCGCGAGATGAATACGAGAGCTTACAATTGATTCGAAGGCGGGTTTGGAAGACTTTTTACAGGACAGACTGATCGACTTCGCGAAATAAAAAGTGGAGCAGATCAGTGATATTGCAGGCTTCGAGAAAAATCAATTTATTAACCCATCGTGCAATCGATTTCACCGGAAGCCAATGTTCGATTCCTAATTGTACTTTTCAGTACAGACATTTTTAGATTAATTTGACACCAATAACTCACGTACATCATAATCTAGCTACAGGCAAACGTGTTTCCTTCAATTCTAGGAATGGGATAATTTATTGATCAGTTCACATGGGTTAAAGATATTCAAATTAAGAGGTTTTGGAGATAGAAGGGAAAAACGAGCCTTCGAACGATGTGCATTTTATTGTTAATACTACCTAGAAAGGGTTAATATTCCGACGGTTCTACGGTGAACGTTAGATCGGTGCGAAGTGTAATGCATCTCGGGTAGAGGGGGATGGATAAAAACGATTCGACCCAATAATTGGGTAGAGCTATAATTTTAACGAGCCGCGATACAGGATTCCTCATTTACGATCCTGGAAATGTCAGCCGTGCTCGGACGGTGTAACGAAAGATTAACGAGAGAGGGGCAGGATATATATCTGCATTATTTTTCCTCTGTACATGTGTGTAGGTTACGTGTCGCTCCGAGGGATGACTCGGTTTACGGGCTAATTAAACGAAAATCACATGTGTTTGCCGTGTAAAAAACTCGTCCAGCCGCTTTTTCTGTTTTTCCTGGGGTCGCCGTGAATACAGGCCATCTCGAACGCCATGATTCGAAAATCTTTTTTTCGAGGACAGATTGTATCGTAACTCTTATGCTTGTGATCGATGGATACCTGTCTATTGTAACTTCACCTTCAGAACTCACATTCCTGTTAATTCATTATTATATCTGTATGGCGTGCACAGATAGAATCAGGTTGAAGTAGAAAATTGTAGAAACAAGTCTCTGATGATAATCAAACTTCTCTACAACACGTTGGTTTCAAAGATGGCAGACGATTTCGATGAAAATACGAAACGTTCTTCCGGCCTTTATGGAAATTTATCGTGAAATAAGGAAAATACACGTTTTCCATGATGATCGTCGATCGAGGAGAAATGTATAAACTGCTTTTTCCTTTTAATTCCCTTTACAAACTGAAATCACGTGCAATATTCCTCTCTCTCTATGCTTCTGTCACACTCCCACTCTTTCTCTCGCTCTCTCGCTCGCTTATAGCTCACGTTTGATGATCCCTCGAACATGTTCGCTCGGTCATTGCATAATACTCACCCGTCTCTTGGGCGCTCGAGATCGTCCTCGTTTCGGTGCGCCGCGAACTATGTATTCGCTGTTGCAGAAATTTATCTATCCTCGCGGCGGTGTAAATATTCACCGCAGCCGTTTCATCGTCCACTCCGTGGAATAGCTCGAGCTCGAAATCTCAGCCGTGTAACGAGCCATCCAGGCGAATATAATCGTGTGGCTCTTCGAATTACCAGGAATTACTGCTTTTATCGCCAGGAATCTCTTTCAATGGAATTCTGAATCTTCCTGATTGGAACCTGGAACAAATCTTTTATCGGCGATTCGTTAGTTGAATCGCTGGGTTATCGGGAAAATCGCGAGTGATTCTAATTGGAATTAATTTACATGCTCCGTTGAGAAATAATCTGAATTACCAGAGATTGAGATTGTATTTTGCGAATTAAGAAGGAATTTTAAGAGGAAACCGATGGTACTAGTATTCTGCATTGTTCGTCTGGAGCTCGAAACACATTTGTCGTTCCATTCTATTTAATTGCCATCGATCATTCATTCTGAACCACAGGAAACGCACGGACAACATCGAGAAAATAGCTCGAAATAGGAGAAACATTTATCAAGACGAGAGATATCACAAATTGGTCCGAATCGATCTGGATTCTGCTATTAAACGGACACAAATAGAGCAGAACTAACTTTATAGGAGAGTCGCCATTAAGGATCCTAAGCAAGCGCTCCAAAACGAGCTCTCGAGAAGTAAAAGGAAGCGTGGCTTCCGTTAACAGTCGGCAAACAATTATCCTCGATCGAGTCTTTAACCCTTTCATTTCGAAATTATTGAAAAATTACCAGAGAAACATTTTCTGTATAATAGACGACATATAAATGGTTCACAAGAATATTTTAACACTTTGAAACCGTCTAATGCCATTTTTCATTCATTGCAATTTGACAACTTTTTTACATTTATCACAATTATATATAATAATTCTCATAATAATGTTGTTATTCACAATAGAATCCAATTTTTCTTACCTTTAATCAATAAACCCTCTTGACATATTTGAAAGAAATTAAAAGTTTTGATTGTTAAAATGCTCAACACTTGAATACTTGAATTCCATCAAATGAATCAGACAAATGATTGATAGTGTCTTGTTTTACCGATAACCTTTTAAATGCACATTTAAATTTGTGACATACCATCTACACAAGACTAGACGAAACTATTATATACTCACAGACATTGCTGATATTTTATTTCATAATTTAGAATGCGGTAATCATATGGCAACATTGGAAACGAAAGGGTTAAGTAATTATCCGATGAGTCAGTGGGAATCCCGTGGAAAAAGGAAAAATGCTCAAACTCTACGATCTACAGAGATCACTCTTTGTATATCTCAACATGTGGATCGTTAGATCGCTGATTTGCATCGCTATTAGATTGTTATCGTTCACCGGTACACCGTCATACCCGACTTATCCGTGGAACATAGAGGATCGGTTTGTTGTTTCTGGCGGAAACATGACCAGCAAAAGAAGCCCAGGACCCACTTATCCGTTGTCGACCTTTCACCACAAATGAAAGCACAGCCGCGGCGATGGCGTTCATTTTGCTTTCCTCCGTGGACATACAGGGTGGTAAAAACACGATGTTCACTGCATATATGGGTAGACAGCGATCATCGAGTCGAGTCTAAACCTTATGGTGAACTTTCGTTTCTGATACCGCCTGGTAGACTGAAGATTTGACGTGTCGAAGCATTATACTCTGTTCCATAGGAATACTAGTACACACGTTATACACATTATACACTGTTCCATAGGAATACTAGTTACATAAAAATGAAAATATTTATATAGAAATGGAAGTAGAAGACGTGAAATATTTTTTTTTTTGAAATATTAATCTACGGATTTGACACTAGAATCGCGTGTACCTTTGGGCTACAATCTAGGGCCCAAGGCCTTTTAACATCGCCACTGATTGCAAAAGGGTTGATTTTTAACCCCATGTGTTCTAGTCGTTTCTCACTCAATTCGACGAATACCGTCTGAACAATTTTTTCTTCTTAACGATCTGTGTGCAATAAGAAATCAGTGCACAGCACTTTTACAAGACCACTTGTCAGAGTGGCGTGATTCGTACGATGGCCAGGTGATAAGACGTTCACCTGGCTGCTCGTTTGGTCAGCCAATGTCACTCTGATTAATGAAACTATCGGTTACATGCTGCTCTTGTCTCGTTCCTCCATCCACGTATTTTCTTTCTTCTTTTTTTTTCTCGGTTACATCCACTGGCCCACCTCCTTGGTTCTCTCTTCGTCGTTTTCGTCGCGTGGAACCAGCTGGCGCCTGCCGGCTGCGCGCGAATCACGGCTTTAAACACGTTATATTACACGCAATCACGAAAGGAGACGCGCGCTCGCGTTTTCTCTTTCGACACGTGTACCGGTACGCTCCAGATTTTTTTTCCAGATTGCTTTACGACCTTGCGCAACACGGACCATGTGTCTTCTCTCCCCCCCCTTGGACGATCCTCCTCCTTTCGCGAGACCGTTCGATCGGGGGATCGACCACGCGCACACCTGTTCCCGATCGCTTCGAACATTTTTTGCTAACACTGGCACGGGACCACGATTAACGATAGAGGAACGATCGGTTGAATCACTTCGCGCGATTCTTTGGTCGAATCTCTGATACGAGGTGGTTCCTCGTCTCAATGGATCTATTAATCTAACGGATGAAATTATTAGTTTGATCTTTATTACTCAAGGTTAGATGTAATTTTGTGTAGAAAGAGTAGAATTGAGAATTGTCTGTAGCCTCGTATCAGGGATGTAAGTGGTATCATCGAGGGGGTGAATCTTCACTATCTATTTACTCTAAATGGAAGCATTATTGTGACTTTGCTTACTCGAGATCGTGTATGACATGACGTTAAGAAAGTATAGAATTGAGAATTGTTTGTATCTTATGCTGGGTATACATATAAGAAAACGAAAACAGGAATTTAATTTTAGCCAATGTAAGATTATCTCCTTATTCGTTGCACTTCATATTCCTGTAACAAGAATATTTCTGTTACCACCTGTTCCTCCGTGTATTAGAAATCCTGTTCTCGATCTTCAACCCCGTGAACGTGACTCTCTTCCTAGTCGAGTACACGTCGAAAATTATCTCGATAGGTAGCTGTGGGCGGATCATGAACACGCTACAGTGTAACGACCGCGGATCTTGTTAACATTAATAAATAGTAGATAAGTAAATCCTGTACAAGCTTGCAATAATTGAAGCTCGCGTAACCATCACGCGTTGGTGACCAGTTCCGCGATAACGCGCCTTATCAAAGCTGTCAGTGCATTCTTGATGCAGTGTACGTTCCTCTTATCGCTGTTTCGCTTCATTTTACGACCGTGGAAAGTAGTAACGATCGTATCATGTAGATTAAATGTAAATCGTTAATGACAGATACACCGATGATCGACGATCACCGGTTAGATTTCGTGTTTCGTGTTCGCCCTGTAATTTACAATCATAATTCGGTGAACAGGAAAAAACTGCGAATCCGGTAATTGACATTAGTACGGATATCGTTCGTCTTTCAGCCACTCGAGAACGTATTTATTTAATTACAACGTTCTCTCCGCCGAGTAATGATCCAGGTGTAGGGTAGGGGAGGGGAGACACCGCGGCTGTACCGAACGAAGAACGGGTTCGTTCCGATTTAATGGTCCAGCAGAGATCCTCCAGAAGACGGATTACATAGATTACTCTCTATGTACGCGCAATTAAGGCCGAGCGTGTAACTCGCCTGACGTGAAATAACAGTGATCGAAGGCACACCTTGAAACGGGGACAGAATGGAACTCTTTTGATTGCACTGTTGCAGGAGATCGGGGAGAGCCAGCGTCCACCGGAAGCACCTCAGCCGGCGGCGACCTCTTGTAGTCCTAAGTACCCCAAAAACAGGAGTCATTACTACACCGTCGAGGTGCCTGGTAGCCGTGAGATCGCCTACAACGTTGGTCCAGGCCCGTTGGATCTGAATTCTGATCCTGCGACGAGAAACCAGGAATTTTATCCGCCACAGATCCCATACTCGACCGTCACGCAGGCTGGTCCATTGGTGGCTGGCGAGGTCCCGAACAGCGAAGCAATTTTACAGCCGCAAAACAACGTTGTCTCGACCACGACCAGGCCAACGTTGGTCAATAACGAGAATGTTCAGTCGAATGTCAATAGAAAGACCATCCACTTCGGTCAAGTTCGTCCTCGTTCATCCCAGAAGCCTGAAATCTCTCATCCCGTCAGCAGACTCTGCGACACGATCGAGAGCAACGATAAAGGGGATCGTTTCACGTGTCTGGATGTCGATAGACGAGGGGATAAGGAACAGAGGAACGACGATAAACTTACAGAGAGGGTTATTGTAAACAGCGATAACAATAACAACGATGCCATCGTGAGCAATGACGTTCCGCAACGTGGGAGGCATGCCGCTGGCCAGGAGAGCCATAGATGCGATCAGTGCGGGAAGACTTTCGTTACCAGGGCGTCCCTCAAGGTATAGATCCCGATAACCTATTTATTCTCGATTAACCGTTTACGGTTCAGGTGCACGAAATTTCATTTCTATCTAATACATATTTCAAGATTCCAAAATTTAGCCCATACTCGAAGGGTGCTTTTAAGCAACTATATGTTTCTGATGATCGAATAGTCTGTGGTATCTATTCAGGTCCTGATAAACCTCTCCTTTATTTGTCTTTAGATCTGTTTCAGATCCAATTTCTTCAAAATATACTTATCTTCTTATAAAACTTCCAACATTGAGAACGGTACGCTCTAGTCAGTTTCTATAGGCTGTAATAATGCCTGAAGTTCCTGAGATCCTGTTTCAAAATGGGACCCAGATATCGCCGTCTGAGGGTTAACAATGTATTTTTTTTTGCATTTTATTGACTATGACAGTTCATACGAAATAACATTCCTATCGTTCCAATAAATAGGTGACGACACAGTTCAATTTTGTACCACTGAACTATTGCTTTCAAGTGACTGACATCCCTCCTCGAGTACTGTCTCATTACGGACTCTATACAAATATTAAAAATACCACCATCCGGTGATTACTAATCATAATCAGAGTGACTTTGCTGGTCCTTACATGATAACAGATAGGTTGATTCGATCCAGTCAGGAAACCATTAGCTCTCCGATCTGAAAGAACTCTTTAAGCTTTCTTCCGAATCCCTCAAGACCACCGTTTGGCTGCTTCAGGTGCATGTCAGGACCCATTCGGGTGAAAAGCCGTTCCGTTGCGCGGACTGCGGCAAACAATTCTCCCAGCTACGGAACTACAAGTACCATCGTAGCGTGCACGAGGGCACCAGGGAGTTCGCGGCCACCTGCCCGGAATGCGGCAAGTACTTCAACGACCGTGGCTACCTGAGCTCGCACATGAAGATCCATCGGAATCGGAAGGAGTACGGTTGCGCGGAATGCGGGAAAAGCTTCAATCAACGAGTTGCGTACAACATGCACGTACGGATACACACGGGCGTAAAACCCCATCAGTGCGAGCAATGCGGCAAGGCTTTTTCGCGCAAAATGCTGCTGAAACAACACCTGAGGACCCATTCCGGGGAACGTCCGTATCAGTGTCAAGTTTGCCAGAAAGCTTTCGCCGACCGTTCGAACATGACCCTGCACACCAGACTGCACTCGGGATTGAAACCGTATCAGTGCCATCTGTGCACAAAAGCGTTCACCAAGAAGCACCATCTGAAGACGCACCTAAACTACCACACGGGGACCAAGCCGTACTCGTGCCCGAATTGCGGTCTGAGATTTTCCCAGAGCAGCAACATGAGGACACACTACAAGAAGTGCACGGTGAAGAATCCCGAGGCAAAGGATTCGAGGATCGAGGGTAGCATCGTGGAGGCGAATACTGGCCAGGTGAGGATAATCTCGAGGACACCTGCGGACACCCTGACGCCGCCGAATTCGGATCAGGAACTGACTATATTGACGCCTATATCGAAGAATCCGATAGAGGCTGGCGGGACGTAGTGGTTGGAGGGATTTTAGAGACCCTTACCATCGTGTAGGTAGATTTCCGTGACTTCTGATGCGACCTGGATGGTTGTACAGAGAACCATCATGGACTGAAGTGTGTGATTCTTGTTTCAAGATCGTTGGGTTATGAATTAAAAAGGGACATAAGTGAAGTCTGTGAAGCGTTGGGTGATCAGAACACGAGCTATTCTGCTGGGCAGATAAGGTAATACTCTTCCTGTCTCGAGGAACCCGATCGTCGGGACGTATCGGTGACCCGATACCTGTGATGTAACCAGCCACGTAACGGCTACGAATCAGGGATACGTTTAGAGATCTTCACGCATTATGCGTATCCAGCGATCAGCCGGCTGAGATTTACTAAAGGATGAAACGGTTGCTTAGTTGCGGGAATGCCTTTTGCAATGTTCAAGTCGAAATGGACAGATCTAGATGATAATGTGTAGGAGTGTGTAGAACGCTTGTCCCCGCGAGTGCAATCAGTCGATAGAAAGTATTGGATTCGTTCGAAAGCCGCTCTGTCGGTCGGTAATCCGAGCTACCGTAACAGCCTCTGAACACCTGTCGTTTCCTGGAAATTGTTGTTTTACGGTAATATGTATCGATTTAGCCCGTCAATTGTTACGTCAGCCATCGTTTTCCAGTTTTTTCCCCCCTCTTTTTGCTACGACTTCTTCTGGAGGATTTCCTACAGGATCGATATCGTTCGTGGCATTAATGCTGATTCGTGGGAACGTTAGTATTTATCTTCATTGGAATACTCATGTACAGTAATTAAGGGAACACTGTTAGCGTTAATGGTGATGCATGAATGAGTAAGACGAGCGACCCGGTGTAGTTTCGACGTGAATGTATGTACATAGTGCATGATCTAATTCTCTTCTCGTTTAAAGGACAATCTAGCGATAAGGAGTACGATTTTGTATCTTCGTCGGTAATAAAAGACCTCCGCGACAATTACCTCCTTTATTCTTGTATAATATATCCTTTTGTTTCCTTCGGGATACACTTAGACGCATTTCTCATCACGATCGCATCCCACCTGTAGGTACTGTATCGTTTATGTGCATAAGAAAGCGTGAAACGCAATAAATGAGGCGCGCAGAGTGAATATAGCTACCAGAAGGGGTATTGAATTATATTACATTACGTATCATAGACCAACACGACTTTCGCTTCCACTCATTAATCTTCATCGTCCTGCCGTCCGTCCGTCATCTTCATTAACTCTGTACATAATGGGCCGTATAAGTTCACGAGTCGACTCGTTTTTTCAAATCGTGTTTTCCGTGGTGAAGACCTGTTAGTGCGATAAAGTTACAAACAACAAGAAAATGGAACGAAAGATCACGTAGATTAAGGATGCTCTCGCATCGAAGATGATAAACGAGCTAAAATGTCCTAGAATGTGACACACGGTTGATTAAGTGTCAATCCGAAATAACTTATTTCCCTGTTATTTATATTCGTCAACCCCTCGGAATGATTTACATTCTGTTCTAATTCCAAAATTCATTCCTTTCAGAATTCCATCCGCACACTCCGGTTCAGAATCATTCTAACCACTCTCTAATTTATCGAACGAGGCCCACTAACGACTGAAACACACTCATCGTTACTTTCACCCGAATTTTTGCCAGGATCTATCCACGGAGAAATTACGTTCTTCGTTCTTGTTCCTAACGAGAGAGATTAATGCTTCGGTCTGTGATATTAATCGCCCTCGAATAGTGAAATTTGGCACAGAACCGAGGAGGATGAGAACAGCCCATATGGAACTGGACGAAAACTTCAAGTACGTAGACATCTATTTAAATGCCATACACTAACAGTTCATCGATCACTATTTACATCAGCGAATCAGAGGCTTTCGTTAAACATATTTATACAACAATTGCATTCGTCGACAGAAGTGAAAGGTTAAAAGTAATAGAACTAGTCACCGAAGGTAAAAGAAAATTCGTCGATTGATAACGATTTTAAAGGAAATTAACAACAATTCCTTCAACGTTTTGAGCAATTACATTGTACATCACGTGACGTAAGCAGAAACACAGTCACTCGAGTTGTAAACAGCCATACGTAACCGTTAGAGGAAACTTTCGACCCGGGGTCAGCGAGACATCACGATCATCAAGGATAAGGGGAGCGAGGATAATAAAAAATGTAATGAATCCATTCTCTAATTAAGGTTATAATTGGAATGACCGGCCGGTGACAGGTGTGAGATGCCCGTCGAACGGACGTCCCTGGCTTTCTCGTGTTCCATCAGAAAAACTCTGCGTGTATAAGATGTACACATCAAAGCGTTACTGCAACATCCGGAAAACAACCGACAAAGACAATGCGGTCATAAAGGAGACCCTTATTCCGTTTTACCGCCGCGAGAAAAAAAGCTACTAATGGTGACTCAACAGGGTAAATCTATAACTGATAGAGGAACAATCATCAAGTTTTTGCAATGTCACTTTCGTGCAGCTATTAAATGACCATTAAGTACAACCAGTTGGTTCGGATGGTTCCTTTGACCCTTACAAGCTTCTCAATTCCTAACGATATTTGTGTAATATTCGGCGTAGACATTTGATAATTTTAAAGATATAAGCAATTAAAGTTACGTACCTTCAAAATGTGTAGTGAACCCTCGATGAGTGTTCGAAGGTTTCTCGGCACCGAACATTAAATATTTCATAAACTAATGGCCATATGTGACTAACATAAATATCATTGGCACTAGAATTCCAGGCTCTATCACTGTGACACACCTCATTAAAAAGTACTATGAATACAGGTCAAACTTATGGAAGTACAATAAGATTGCTGGGCTGGTAAATCGGAGGTCCTGGGATCGTCCTGTTTACTGAAATATTTTTGTTTTACTTTACCCACTCAACTTCGATAACTTCGACTTATATATTCATAATATATCTCGAAGGTTCGTAACTTTGATTGTTTATATCTGTAAAATTATCGAGTATCTATACCTAATATTTCACGTAATATCTGAGAAGGTCCAGGGTCCGGTCCCTACCTGCATTTCTGTCAACGTTTCAGGCTGCTGAAGACACAAGTTCCAAGTCGATTTTACGGTCAAAGCCGCACCTACTTCCCTCGACTTCACGCAACTAGACTTCGTCTTCACGGCGACGACCAGTTGAAGGACCTCTTCTAGCCAAGGCTAGAAGAGATCCTATGGCCAGCGAAAGATAGCTGTCTCCCTTTCCTCGGAAGCTTCGAATAATGACACGCCACCAGCGCGTGCGTGTGTGAATATACGGAGAGAATCGGGCGCGTTAATAGAGTGAGGACGGCCGCTAACGCTCCCATGTTTGTCGAAAGCTCCGTTAAACGTTAGAGAGTATATACAAGGAGCAGCTACTTATTTCTGTTTTGTAGACGACACGGCTCCCCCGGTGTCCTTCGAGGCCGGTGATTCGTGGAAATGTCCTATCTGGTAAACCACTCGACCCAACGGGGACAAGATTGAATTAATAAGTAAGAGGGAGCACACTGGGAGAGTATGAAGCATCTCCAAGCTTGTTCCTTATACATATATGTACACGCGACGAGTGTGATGTACGAGCCTCTTTTTAATACGAGTCACCGTTTCGCTCATTAGGGCTAGAGAAATTTGTAACAAGCCTCTTGCTGGTCTGGTCCTTTGGGCTCCGTTACGTCCTTGTATAATGGATAATATCTTCTATATTTCAGAGGAAATGGAAACGGAGGAATCTCCTTCAGATGGTGCTTGAACACTCGCGGTTCTGTGTCCAGAGTATTTGGTGTTGTAATAATTAAATTATAACTTAACTTTTAAAGTAAAAAGTGCAAGGGTAGCAATGTCTGATCATCTAAATCATGCATCTGTCTAATTCTGAGCTATCGAATTCTACATACAAATTTCAAAATCATTAATGATTGTTTAGTAATTATTTGGAAAAATTTTCGTTATATTTAATAATCTTATTGTGTGGTATCTATATGTATACTAAACTGGTCAGGAATTGGGTTCGTGACGGTACCAGCTTATTGTAAAAAAAAGAGCAAAATGAGGTGATTTAATATATTTTGCAATGTTCCATCTCTATCGTACGCGAATATTATTTTAATACTTCTGAAATGTTTTAGATACACACTAAAGTTTGAAATCAATTCTCTCAGGGAGTACGAAAATGTTCGAAATCTACATAAAAGGAAGCGTCTTCTGAATCTTCCAATTTTAGTATTCAAAATGGCGACGTTAAAGTAACCAAGGAAGCATTAGACGTAGCTAGGTCTAACTTCCAAAAAGTACCCACAATTCGGAATCCTCCTGAATGTAAATGTTTGATAAACGTTCCACCGGCGGTCGTGTGCTAACATTTGTACAGTGTTAGAAGATCGTCTTGTCGGTCTCGTGCTCGGAAATATATCAAATATTTGGTTTAATGACGTTCGAGGGTCAACGTATCATCGTCGAATTTATCTTCTACCGTGTACTGGGTGTTTCCACTTCTTTGAACTTTACAAAAAAATTGTGTTAAACAAAACCTGTATTTAAGTGTGTATAGCTTTTATAAATCAGAGTTTCATTATCTGCATTTTTTCACAACGTGTGGTATATCAAAGTGTTCGCTTCCGAAACAAAGCTCAAGGTACAAAAATGTATCGCAGTATTGCATAATTTCTGTTAATTTTTTATTTCGTTCTTAGTATCTTTTTTGTAACATATTTGTAGTCATTGAATCTCTTATGATTCGTGTTAAAACTTTACTACATGGACGTGGGACACCCTGCACGCAGTAGAACGATATTAGTCTACGTTAGTTAAGTTAGAAGCGGTTCTAATATGAGTAGTACGAAATTTCAGGAAAGACGTTCTACGAATGTTTCTCCCTTTCACCAGAAAATCATTCTATCGGTCGCGAATTCATAAGAAATTAATGGATTCGTCGGCCGTGTTATTAGTCACCCAGCGCGATTCGCTTTATTTCTGGCCGCGGATCTCCTCGGCAAATGTATTTTCGTAGCG